CTCTCTCTCTCTCTCTAAAAAAGTAAAAAAAATTATTTATAAAAATTTTATTGGTAACAATATAAAAAAATTTACATAAATTATTACAGTATTCTAACTACCAAACTAAACTAGGTAATTAATAAAACAGTTAAATAATTAAATACTTTTTATCCCGACTTGACCCGAGTCAAACGCACAAAATATACCCACAATTAAAGTCAAAATTATTAGTTTGAAAAATGATCACAAATAATGGGACGACATATACGGCTAAAATGCATTATATATTACGCCAGTATTGGGTCGACGAGACGGACGACAAGATTAAATCGTATGCCATGTTTGGGGGCGGACCGGAACTCCTTTTAACCATATTGTTATTATGGTTAATATTTGTTGTAAAATTGGGCCCAAATATAATGGCCAACCGAAAACCGTTTGTTTTGCGCAAAACACTCATGGTATATAATTTAATGTTGGTTGTGATTAATGTTTATTTTGCATACACGGCGGCCAAATGGCTCGACTATGGCTTCAAACCCCTCTTTGATAGACTGCCGGCCCGTAACCAGTGGTCGGATAAATCGGTCGCTGAAATACCCGATAAAATAATCTACTTTTACACAAAATTATTTGATTTATTTGATACCATATTCTTTGTGTTGCGGAAAAAGTCTAATCAAATCACGTTTCTTCACGTTTACCATCATTTTATAAGTATTTTATTTGACAATTATAAAATATAACATCTATTTAATAAAGTTATTTAGGAAAATAACTATCAATATCAATCAATTTAAAAATAAGTTAACGATCTAGTTTAATGTTATCTGACACCATGACACAACCAATTTAAAAAAAACTATTTATATAAAAAAGCTTTTAAATTTAAAATGTAAGGTTGTTATGATTAAAAATTAATATTTAAATTTAATATTAAATATTTTGCAGCCCCTATATTGGCATATATGGTATTAAAACTGTGTCCGCAAACCACTATTTTTGAAATCGTGTGTTTTGTCAACTCTATAGTGCATACCGTTATGTATAGCTATTACCTGTTGTCGGCATTTGGGCCATGGATTCAGCCCTACTTATGGTGGAAACGATACATAACACGCATACAGTTATTACAGTTTGTCGTCTATGGTGTGGCTCTACTTATGGCCATATATTATGGTCAATACAATGAACATCCTATAGCCTTACAATGGTTGGGCACTGGACAGCCGTTTGTATTCTTTTACATGTTTTACCGCTTTTATGTTAACTCGTATAATAAAAATAAAGTACAATAATTGATCATGTTAGTTGCTATTTTAATTAATATGCCCATGTATATTTAATTATTAATAAACAAATTCTTGTTTTTCATTAAATAGAATTTGTTGTGATTTTTAGCAAAATTTTTAAGTAATTTGATATTTAAGTTAATAATTTTGACCAATTATTGTTTAATTTAACAACAATAAAACAATTTATGCATATACCGTAGGTGCAGTATATTATTAAGATATCACAGTTTTATGTTAATTTAATAAATTAAATGTTAATTAAATAAATTAATTTTCTAATCAAGTTTATAAAATAAAAATATTAATCAACCCAAAGTTGTGGTTATGATTGTATTGTACATCGATTTACTATTATAGCACTCCATAGGAATACATTATAAAGTAAAATTACTAAAATTACTAGTAAAATTACTCTATGGAAAAATGCATATACAATGCTTTAGAATTCCTATTTGTCCTTGATTAACAAAATTTATTAATTTGTGTTTCTAAGCCATTAATAATTGTTTTCATGTTTTTTGTGGCTACAATTTCGGCTTTTGGTATACTAGTACGTACATATAAATTTATAAAAATATCTATATTGTAACCAGTGCGGGGCGCACCGGCTATGGGCGCACCGGTCATATAAAGCCAAAATGCCCCTACAGTTGTTGCTGGCATTTGGTGGTGGAGTGCTGTCGCGACCATAGAGTACACCACCGCTTCTCCGACATCGACGCCGATCCGCACAACATTACGAGGGGTTTCTTTTTTGCGCACATGGGTTGGCTCATGTGCCGAAAGCACCCTGACGTTATTGAGCAAGGTAAACTCGTGGACATGAGCGATCTGGCCGCTAACCCCGTGATTAGTTTACAACGTAAATTTTACGTGCCTTTAGTGGCGCTAATATGGGCCGCATTTCCCATATTTAATCTGTCGTGGGTAATTTAATAATACAAATAATAGTTTCTGTTTAATTAATAGCCGTACGATAAGACCATAAATCCCGTGGAGTGTAATATACGGCACGTAATGTTTGGTGAAGGATTTCACAATTACCATCACACATTTTCATGGTAAACATTTTATTTAACTACTTTATACTCTAATCATGCTTATTTGATAATGAATATAGTATTTTAATAAACAATTATAATTTAGTCCATGTGGTTATTGATAGACATTTGGTTAATTAAGTGCATTGATTAATTAAAAAATTATTGTATTAATTGTAAAAACAATCTAACCCCGATTACACATTCAGGGACTATATGGCGAGTGAATATGGCCCATATGATGGGTTCAACCCGGCCACTATGTTTATAAACACGATGGCTGTGTTGGGCCAGGCGTACGATTTACGTCAACCGTCGGCCAATATGATCGTTGAGAGACGTAAACGTACCGGTGATGTGGCCAACAAAAAATTGAGCATGGTCTGGGAGATAGGCACCGCGTCGTCTACTCTGCTAATTCTTATATTCCCATTACTGACTAGACTCACGCAACCTTATTAATTTGTCATGTAGTGTTGTTATTACTAGATTGTTTTTAAATTATAATAGAAATGTCGTAAATATCAGACATTTTGCATAACTATTAATATTACATTTAATTATGTGTTTTTTAAATAAAGAGTAAAATTGTTTGTTACATGTGTCTATTTAGTGAACCCATTATTATCCAATAGCCGCACAGGATTAGACTGACCAGATGTCTATGAATGACATGAATTGTCCCGGAATTAAATTACCTGCCCAGAATTTTATAAGTATTTTTAACATTAAGCTAATGAAAGCGTCCAGAACAAATAAGTTAAAATTATAAAAATGTTCAAAAATTTTGGAATATAAAGCTAATTTTTGTACAAAATCCAGGATCGCCATATAATTATCTGGTCAGTCTACTAAGCACCCAAATCTACACTAACTATTTAATATGGCAGAAATTTTAGTACATTTTTGTACAGTTTTGTCTATAATGTACAATTTTAAAAATATAATAATGACTATTCTAACTATTTTATACCGTATATTCATTAATAAATGGACACTGTTATTTTATTATTATTTGTTGTTATTAGTTAAAACTTGTTAAAGACAAATATAGAGTGTAGATAAAAATTATACAAAGATAAATAATAATTGTTAATGTATTATTCAGATTTTTATTTATATCTCGAAATATTTTAAGTAGATTTATCAGGTTTTCAAAAATGTTATATAAATTTATGAATTAAATAATCTAAATAATATAATTTAATTATATCACAATATTTTGCAACTATTAATTGACCATAATTTATCAATCTAAATCTCTTAACAGTTTTAATAGTTAAAGTTAAAATGGTTAATTTTACAACCTGCAATATATTTTACAAGTATATTAACAATTAATTTTTACATAACATTATCTATGCAATAGGTAACATACAGTTAGTAGGTAACATGTAGTTGCAAAAAAATTACATTTTATAAGTATTAAAAACACAATATTATAATTCAGTTTATAACTACTGTACAATAAATGTATATGTCAATAAATAAATAAATAAATTATCTATTAAATTATTCATCCATTGAATAATTATGTAAAGTTAAATAAATAAATAAAATTTGACGTCAATTTTATTTTCTTAGAATATATTTTTTATAAACAATATTTTTAATTGAAATTTTATTGTTTTCAATAACAAAACACATATTTATTTATCAATAATTGTTTTACATTTCTATTGGCGTCATATCTATTTATTATTGTAGCAATATAAAATATTTTATTAAATAACATGTAAGTTATTAAAAATATTTTCCTTATTTATTAAATCTCATATAAAACTATAACTTAATAAATAGTTGCTATAATAACAAATTGCCTAATTTGTAAAATGAAATAGATAGATCATAGATGAAATATTTTAGTATAATATAATAATCACAACTTTTAATTTAATAGACACTATTATTGTCAACACAAATTACAAACATGGTTAATATTTCGGCAAACAGCGAGCAAATAACCGAACTTATCAATAATGATACCAACAATAACACAGGTATATGTAATCTATTTAATCATGATTACAATATTACTAAACGGTATTTTATTACTAGACAATATCGACAACAAAGCTAATGGCAACATACGAAACAAGTAAGATGTAAAGTCATATCTTAATAGTTTTAAAATTAATACTATTTTATTATCATAACAATAGATCAAACTTATATATAAGCGGAGAATTTAGCGATCATGATGATTTAAATAACGACAAACTTGAACCAGAATTTAAGCTAGAGTTATACTGGTACAATATCACCATGGCGGTGTTGTTGCACGTAGCTGCGGGATACGGAATCTACTTGGGCATAACATCGGCACAGATAAAAACTATTTTGTTTGCATATCTACTTGGACATTTATCAACAATTGGTGCTCAGGTAAGCACACCATAGTGTAAACTAAAACTGCAAAAGTCATTAAATTTGTTATCTTTTTATTATAGTATTTTTTATTAATAGAACAAAAGGGCTAGAATATTTAATTTGACACTATTAGAAAATTTTTACACTATTCAAAATTCTACTTGAGAAAGAAAGAATTAATTTAATAATTTAGTATTAATTATCAATATAATTGACAACATTATTATTTATAATTAAACTATCACAAACAGATGATTTTACTAGTGTTCAATCAGTTATAATAATAATTTAATTAAAACACATACAAACCAAACTATATAAACATGGTAAATTTTATAAACTTACAAACTTAATGACCTAGTGCGGAGTGCACCGGCTTTGGTGCCACCGGACCTACAAAGCCAAACCAGTCCTCCAATATCTGTTGGCCTTTCTATACGTACTGGCCTTTCAGGACAACATATACAAGTGGTCACGTGACCATCGGGTGCATCATAAGTGTGCCGATACGGACGCCGACCCCTATAGTATCAAACGTGGTTTTTTCTTTGCCCACATTGGTTGGCTATTGTGCCGTAAACACCCATCGGTAATTGCCCAGGGTCACACCATTGACATGTCCGATTTGGACCACGATCCATTGGTACAGTTTGAACGCCGCTATCACGTGCCACTAGCGTTGGTCCTATGGGGCGCTATGCCTACGCTAGTACCTTGGTATTTCTGGGGCGAGAGTTTGTCGGCGGCTTGGTTTATATGCGTTATGTATAGGTATACGTATACATTGAATTCAACATGGTGCATTAATAGCGCAGCCCACTATTGGGGCGACAAGGTGCTTATTCTCAAATTTAATTATACTATTTGCTTAAATATTGACCATGTATTAATTTTGATATTGATTAAAATAGCCTTACGATAAGCACATCGAGGCCACAGAATGCACGATAAGGCACGTGATGATGGGCGAGGGCTTTCACAACTATCATCACACTTATCCATGGTTAGTAAATGTTACAATATCTCTTCCACGTACATTCTAATTAAACTTTTATTGGCCAAACATAATAATTTAATATAATAATTTTCTATAATATAAATCGTCTAGGGACTATTCAATGAGCGAGTATGGTCCAATTGACGCATTCAACCCTGCTACAATGTTTATTGATTTGTTTGCCCGGTTGGGTTGGGCCTATGACATGCGCCGCGCGCCACGGGATGTGGTTAAGCAGCGTATGAAACGTACGGGTCAGCCAAATGTGACCGCCAAAACAAACAGGGTGTATGAGTGGGTGACGGCCACCCTGTATTTAATGCTCATGTTTTACCCTTTTATTATAGGCAGTTTATGGAAAAATTACCTATCACATTTGATGTATTAATAGTTTAAAATTGAATTTTAATAATCACATGTTATAAATTTTAATTAATTTGTTAATTATGAAATTATTGTATTTTGATTAAATATTTTGGTAAAAATTGTTCAAAATTATTTTAGCTGATTGATTTTAAAAATGTGTTGCATAAAAACAAATTATCCAATTTTTATAACATATTGTCTATTATACCATAAAATGTATAAAAATTTTATAATTCTATCTACAATAGAAAGTATATTAGACCAAGATTAAACATTTTTTATTCTAGTAAAATAAAAGGCATATCGTAATTATGCGTGAATACTATTTATTGTGAATAATAAACATGTACATTACTAAAATTAAATAATTTATATGTTTTTGGGAAAGTAATTTTAATATTATCAAGCTACTCAATTATGCTCAACATACATACATACATGTATATGCATTTATGCACATGTATATTTATTTTATTTTTCAATAATTAAATGCAAATTATTTAATAAATATTTTAATTTTAATAAATGACTTATTAATATAGAATACAATATAATTAAAATATTATAACTGTTAACATTTTTATTACGTCAATATAATTTTATTCTTAATATTGTTTATAAAAAAAAGTAAAAATAATTTATGTATTGTATCAATATAATATCAATAATATTATTATATTTTTTAAATAAAACTTTCCATCAACATTTACCAATAATTGATTTAAAATACAAAAAAATATTTACAATAAATTGTCACTTCATTGTAAAAATATGATGTACGTCAAAAAATTAATTAAAAATTAAAATTATTAGTAAATAGAAATGAACAAATTTTGGCAAGTTGTTTTATATAATAAAACATGAATAATTAAAAGTTTATTAAGCTATTTAAGCCGGAACACAATAAAAATAATTATTTGCCTATCAAAGTATAATTTGGTACAATATTTTTATTAATTTTTAAAAGGTATGAATTTACTTTAATTCAACTAATAATTGTAACAAATTATTAGAAATTTTAACTAGATTTACAACATTTCAATCTAAATGACAGTTAACGTTTGCTAACAATTTAAATTATTTAAAAACTTATTTTTTATTATTCATTCAAGATAAAATTAGTTAAAATTATAATAAATATTATATCATACTACAAATATTTAAAATTTTATCATTAGAAAATGAAATTTATAAATTAATTATTTTAAAGTTAAAATTAATTATTAGCTGCAACGTTAAAACTACTGAAAACTATTATATTAAAAATTTAATTTATTAAGTTTCATTTATTCAAATGCATAGAAAAATAAAATGTCAGACAAAGATATAGTGATCACCGGAATGTCCGGTCGGTTCCCGATGTCGGACACTGTGGACGAGTTCGTACACAATCTATACGCCGGACGCGATATGATTACGGATGACGAGAGCCGGTGGCCAAAGGGTATGTTCATATATTTTTATTTTATTTAATACGTAAATTATGGTTATAGTCTCTAATTGATAAATATCTAACATTCAATAACATGTGAGAACAAAGTGTACGAAAAGTATAGCAATTATATATTATAAATTGAAGTTGTATATAAAAAGTTGCCTCTCCCTGATCTAGAACATTACACAGACACTAATTTAAAAGTTATTATGATTTTTTAAACCGCTATAAAGTTTTAGTAATAATAATTTTTATTTCAAAAAGCATTCTAACATTATTATTTAATAAATTATAAATAATTAAAAACTGTATACATTAATGTAATACATAAATAAAGTACCATTTTAATTCAATTAAACAGATTTATTGTGCATAAATTCACGGATGGGAAAAATCAAAAACTTTAAGCAATTTGACTCATCATTTTTTGGCCTAATGGAGAACATGGTGGACGAGTGGGACCCTCATGGGCGAATACTGCTCGAGGTGGTTTACGAGGCCATTGCCGATTCAGGTACATTTCAAAATAATTATTTTAATTATATTTAATGCTATTATTTTCTACTAAATCCCTAATAGGTGTTAACCCACAGGACCTTAGGGGCAGTCAAACGGGTGTATACGTGGGTCTGTCGCTGTACGGTATGGTCGACGGCCTGACCGAACAGATTGAACCCGATTTAAGCACCGCCAACGAGACGGCAATGTTTCAGACGATGGCTAATATGAAAACACTGAACGCCAACCGTATATCCTATGCGTTTGACTTCAAGGGGCCGTCGCTTATTGTAGACACCGCCTGTTCGGCCAGTTTGTCGGCCATAACTTTGGCCGTCAATGATTTGCTACTAGGTAGGTTTATGTGATAAGTTACAATATAAATTGATATTAATTATCTATTATTTATTAATATCAACTTATTTAAATGCAATAAACAGTACAGAATTTTGCATATGTAATTACAAAAGTTACAATGTTAATTATTTGGTAAAATAACTACCTAGGTCACGTCGATGGTGCGATAGTGTGCGGGGCGTATATGATGTTCGAGCCGTTCCTATACCAGTGCCAACAGTCGCTCAACATATGCTCGCCTCGAGGCGTGTCGGCGGTGATGGACGAGTCGGCCGACGGCTTCGTGAAGGGCGAGACTGTGGGCGCCGTTTACCTTCGCTTCAGGGCCGACGCCCGGCGTATATACGCCACAGTATTGGCCGCCCGTATGGGCGTCGACGGCAATAAGACTGTCGGCATGTTTTTCCCGTCCAGCGAAGCCCAAGAGGCGCTGATGGTCCGCACGTATACCGACGCCGGTGTCGACCCGCGACGACTCACTTATTTCGAGGCTCACTGTACCGGCACTAAGGTATGCGTGTATTAATTTTATACAGTAAGATCTTAAGTTATGGCATAATTAGTTTATTTATTAAGTATATGCAAAATCATAATTGTAAAGTTACATGTATAAGTTATTTTTAATTTATAAAATTATTAATTAATTAAATGTTTATAAACTTATAATTTATTTCCACGTAAAGGCGGGCGACACACAAGAAGTGCGGGCCATATATAACGCGTACTGCCAAAGACCGGGCCGTACGGACCCCTTGCCGTTGGGTGTGTTGAAGGACAAGATCGGCCACTCGGAGGGCGGCTCAGGCATAGCGTCGCTCATTAAGACACTCATTGTCTACGAGAATGAATGCATTCCGCAAAACATTAATGTAAAACACCTGAAACAAGACATCGCTGTCTACTGTCCGCCATTGATGCCCGTGTTTCGGCCCTACCCTTATAAACCAGGTTAGTTAACAAGTTAATGTACTAGATTATTTTTAACTATCAATGATTATCAACATAAATGCAACTTGCTTATATTTAAGTTATAGTATATTTAATTACATTTTAAACTAATTATGATAATTATTTTCTAAATGCTTAGGGTTGGCAGCGGTCAATAATTTTGGTATCGGGGGCTCAAACGCACACGTATTGCTCGAACCCAACGATAAGTTGGCCACAAATGATGGCCAAAGAGTCGCCGATATTATGCCCAGAATTGTCAACATTTGTGGCCGAACTCAAGAGTCGGTGCAATATATCATGGATTTCATTGAAAGTAATCCACAAAAAATAACAAATGATTTTTTGGCACTTTTGGCCCAAACCATGAAATACAAGCCTAATGTTAACTCATCGGGAATGCCGTTCAGAGGTTTGTTATATAATATATAAATACATAATAATTATATAATAAATAAATAAATGAAAATTAAATGTAATTTTAGGTTCAATTATAATGAAAAAACTATCGGAAGAAATTGACGGCAAAATACGCTACGAATACCGGCGACAGTCGGGTGTAATGACCGACAAAAAACTGCGCCCCCTATGGCTACTGTTTCCGGGTATAGGCGGTCAGTGGCCGGCAATGGCCAGGGCTTTGATGCCAATCAAGCGATTCGCCGACACTATCGACGATTGCCATCAAATACTGAACAACGAGTTTGGCTTTCAATTGAAACCACTATTACTAGAAGACGACCCGTCGGTAATCACATCATTGACCGCCAAGTTTTCGGCCACAACTGCCTTAGAGTTGGCGTTATTTGATGTGTTAAAAGCGCTGGACGTCACACCCGACGGCATAATTGGCCACTCATTTGGTGAGATTGCCTGCGCTTATGCCGACGGCTGTCTCACCCGACGAGAGGCTATGATTATCACGTATTTGAGAGGAAATGTTACCCAAAATGACCGGCAAATGACCAAAGGCTTGATGGCGGCGGTGGGGCTGTCGAGGGCTGAGGCCATGAAGTACTGCCCAAAAGGGGTGGAAGTGGTCTGCAATAACGGGAAGGATAGTTGCGTTGTGTCCGGTATTTGATTAGAAACTTTTTTTTATTGTATTAAATTATAATAAAACTATTTTTAAAACTTTATTTTCAGGTCTAATGAATGAAATGCAAGACTTAATGAAACGATTGCGAGAAAAGCGTGTATTTGTCCGACAGTTAGAGAGCAGTGAAATACCATTGCATTCGCAATATATGGTCACTTCAGCCAAACCAATGATAGATGTGATCAAGAAATACCTGCCGGAGCCACGGCTCAGGTCCAGCAAATGGGTGTCCACCGCTGTGTCCGGTCAGGACGAGACAGTAGACGAGACATTACGGTACGCGTCGGCCGAGTATTTTGTACACAATCTGATACATTATGTCAACTTTTACGACCGGCTCCGGGAGTTGCCCACCGATGCCGTAGTCGTCGAGTTGGGCCCGCACTCAGTGTTTGGCCGAATAGTGACCGAAACGCTCGACAACTGTCACTATATATCGCTATTAAAAAAGGACTCAAACGCGACAAATATGGACACATTTTTGTCCGGATTGGCCCAACTCTACGAACTGGGCTTTAATCTGGCCGTCGATGGGCTGTACGCGCCGGTCGACTGGCCAGTGGCCAGGAATACACAGTCCATCTCGTCGCTGATCAAATGGGATCACTCGCGCGAGTTTGACTGCCGGCTATACCCGGACCGGTGGTGTCAGTCGACCGCTGGCGACTCTACTCATGTGGTGCGGTACCAGAAAAATGAGGACCAGTTTTACATGGATCACGCCGTAGATGGTCAGCCTATCTACCCGGCCACCGGCTATTTGATGCTCGCGTGGCGTAAAGTGGCCGCCAGTGTCGGCAAACTGTGGACAGACTGTCCGGTGGTGTTTGAAAACGTTCACTTCAGACGAGCCGTGTTTTTGTCTGATTCGGCTAATGTTAAGCTGAAGGTGAAATATATTCCCACATTAAGTAAGTGATTGTTTTAATTATAGAAACATTTATTTATTTATTTTGTGCTAAATTATTTATTAACAATTGTCTTATTATGTTTAGTTACATTATCAAGATTCTATAAATACAGTTAAACTTTCCTGTTAGAATCGATAGAAAATAACAAATATGCTATATTATATAAATTGCATAATGTTACTTTTCCTCTGTTTTTCATAAAGTTCTTGTTTATTATGCATATAAATTATAAGTTATAATGATTTAAGTGTATGATTATAAATACAAATATTTAATTTGTTTACTATTTATTTACAATTAATTACATGACAGACGAGTTCCTCATTTACGACAACAGTAACCAACTGTGCGTTTCGGGTCGAGTGCGGGCGCCCGACGCCGAGGCGGACGACGTGTTGAACACGCAGCACGTGTTACACGAGTCAAGCAAACAGACCGCCAATGACTATACCCTTGAAAGGGAGGACATATACAAAGACCTACGGGTGTTGGGTCTGGACTACGGGCCAGAGTTTCAACGGCTGCGCAAAGTCGGCACAACTGATTTCCACCAGTTTTACGGCCTAAACGAGTGGACGGGTAATCCGGTCACCTTTTTGGACGCTATGCTGCAGGCCATGGCCCTGGCCTGGCCTACCCGGCGCCTGATGGTGCCCACAATGATCCGTAGCGTACGGGTCGACCCGCGGCTGTTCCTGGACTACGTCCGGGCCAATAGACTGACCGACGGTCAGACCTCAGCTGACCGGCCGGCAGATACTGTGGTCAGCGGTCAGCTCATGGACTCTGGCCGGCAGATAGGGGTCGTTACGGGTGATGGCGTTGACGATGAATTTAAGCGCCGTTACGGCAAATACGTGGCGGACATCCCTTTTTATTATCACGTTCAACAGAAACTACTGGTCGCCCCGGGGCTAGAGGTGGGCGAAGTGATGGCCTCACCCCTGCCCTACCGGAGCGATGCCAACGATCTGGTGCTCGACTCCTATGAGTTCTGCGCCAATAACGATAAGGCGGCCATTGATGACAGTATAGCCGCTGAACTTCACCGATATATTGGGGTAAATATTTTATTATTTATTATTAAAATAATATTTTGATAGATTAAGCATAATTATATGGCAATATTTATCAATGTCAAATTGTAAATATATAATTAATGTAAATTGTGCATGTGTAAGTGAGTTTACAGGAATATTTTAATATAAATAATTATAGTTTAATTATCAATAAACTAATTAATTAACTATTTAACTAACAAAATATAATAACTTAACTAGGTTTGCAATTTATTGGCCCAAAAAGTGGTTAAACTCGCGGCAAAACACTTACACTCAGAGACAAACGAAGACATGATCATCACCGACGAGGATGTGCTACAAGAGTACCGATTGGCCAACAATGACCGACACGTAATGTTCCGCATATTAGACACAATCGCCGGACAATTGGGCGCCAAAAAGGCGACCATCGATGAGATAATCCGCGAAATGGATGGCAAAACTCAATACGATTTAAGCGATGATCTCATAAATCAGATCCAGAGTAATGAACGTGTGTTGAGATCAGCCGTGGATATTGTGGCCGAAAATCACGGCTCCGGGCGCCGTATGACAGTGACCGAGGTCAATTTAAGCGGTGGTCACGCGATGGCCAAACATATAGATGAATATTTAGCCCGATTTAATTTGTCAACACTCGATGTTGACTATAATCTTGTGGTAAAGTCTGGCCAAAAGGGTATCCCCGATGTGTATCGGGAAAAGTGTGTCGAATGGACGGTCAGTAACGGCACAGGTATTCAATTCAAGCGCTCGTATCTCATTGTTTTGCGAGACACTCGCGACTTATGGCCATTGGATTTGAACGCGTTTTTAAACACAATCTATGAGTGCATTGAAAACAATGGATTTTTGTTAACTGTATTTCGATATAAGTTTACTAACGCAGAGTTGGCGTTGAATTCAATGCTAAACCAAAATGGTTTGAATGATAATGATTTGGCCTCACGTATCAAAACGTTTCAATTGGTCTCAATTAAACTGGGCTTCAAATTGATTGCCACTAAATACGATACTATAGGAAACGCTGTGATATTACTGAGAAGGGTTGACGCGATACATGCAATTCCCACAAATGATAACATAATATACATAACTGAAGATCACAAGCAATGGCTGCCAGTATTGCAACAAAAGATGATCGCCGCTAAAGAGTCGGATGAAAAAAATTGCGATAATGTTTGGCTTATGGGAAATGACACCGCAATCAGTGGTATCATTGGTTTAGTGAATTGTTTGCGTTTAGAACCGGGCGGAGAGATATTGCGCTATATTTTCCATTACGATAACATTGAGAGTAAGAATTCCATAGACTTTAACGCTGAACCCTATCGACATATATTGGCCAATGATTTGGTGGCCAATGTAATCAAAGGGGGAGTTGTGGGCACTTATAGGCATTTAAAACTGCCCAACCATTACGACAAATGTGTGTCAAACCACTACCTGCTGAACGTCGGGCCGACACCGGAGTTATCGGGGCTGCGATGGTATGACTGCCGCCGACTGCCAAACATAGCCTACTATCCCGACCACTCAGAGGCCGACAGATTTCCGGTTCACGTATACTATTCCAGCCTAAACTTCAGGGACCTTATGATCGCTACCGGTATTTAACATAAAATTAATAATAATTATTACTATTTGTATAGAATTAATGACATTGAAAAGCTTTAATGCATGTTTTATAATAAAAACACCGTGATTATTTTTGTAATTATAAACATTTTACATAATACTACACAGAATATGCTTTTACCGTTTGTTTGAATTTGATCATGTCTAATTAAAATGTATAACTATGTTTCAAATTAGGTCGAATGGTAAACGGTAAGCTCAAACTGCTAGATGACTGTCAACTGGGTGTGGACTTTGTGGGCCGACGTGCGGACACAGGCCAACGAGTGATGGGTATCGCAACTCACGGCACGTTCGCCACCGATGTGTACGCTGTGACCGAAAACACGTCACCCATACCTGACCACTGGTCAATGGCCGAAGCGGTGACCATCATTAACACATACAGTGCCGTTCATTATGGTCTGATCAAGTGCGCCGACATTCAGCGAGGTATGTTAATTGCAACACTTGTCAGCAATTTTACTATTAATTAAGGTGCATGATCATTATTATTATTTATTATTAATTTTTATGACATCAAAAAATAACTAAACTAATATTAAAAACTATACATATTCAGGGAATGTTGAATTGTAGTAGTACTGTAATGCAAACTGTAATGTTATAATTAAATATGAATATATCGATTAATTGTTGAGGTACAGTATAATATTTTTGGCATAATACTTTAACATAATACAATTCAAATATTAATTTTGTTTTTAATACTATTTTTTAATATTATTATATAAATATATCATTGTACATTTTTAATATAATGTATTATTTATAATTTAATTTAACTTAATTTAATAATTTTAATTGCTAGGTGAGAGTGTGCTCATACACTCGGCGGCCGGTGGTGTGGGTCAGGCGGCCATCAATGTGTGCCAACACTACGGCTGCCAAATCTACGCCACTGTGGGCACCGACGAAAAGCGCCGGTTCCTGACCAACACATACGGCATACCGGAGTCACACATCTACTCGTCACGTGACAATCGGTTTAAAAACCAGATAATGGCCGCCACTAATGGCCGGGGAGTAGACATTGTGCTCAACTCGTTGGCCGGCGAAAAGTTTGACCTGAGCTACGAGTGTGTGGCCAACTCGGGTCGTTTTGTCGAGCTTGGTAAGGCCGATATGGCCCAGAATCGTAAGCTAGATTTGTTTGATGGGCTCCGGAACGTACGCTTTCTGGCCGTTATGATGGATGTGGTGCTCACTGAGCGCCGGCAGTATTACCTGGAGTTTTTCGATTGGGTACATAGGAATTGTCACCCCGATGGTTTTGTCCGGCCATTGAACTACACTGTATTCGAGCCCCGGGAGGCAGAACAGGCGTTCCGACACATGTCTACCGGCAAACACACCGGCAAACTGTTGATTAAGCTCCGGGACGAAGAGCCGGATACGCGGCCATTAGCACCGGTCAGTCCGGCCCGGGATATGGTGGTCACCGTTAAGACCTATTTTGATCCCAACAAGTCGTACATAATCACTGGTGGTTTGGGTGGTGTGGGCCTGGAGCTGGTGCCCTGGATGCTATACCGGGGCGCCCGTAAGTTTGTGCTGACCTCCCGGTGCGGCCCTAAAACGAATTACCAGAAGTTTATCACCGGTTTATTCCGACAACACTTCGCGGACTACAAGTACTTCTCCAGCGATCTGTTTATATCGACGGCCAATGCGCTGACACTGGAGGGCACGCGAGTGCTGCTCCGGGAGGCGGAACGGTTGGCACCCATTGGAGGGGTATTTCATTTGGCGCTCGTATTGAACGACTCGTTGGCCGAAAATATGACGCCCGAGAGGTTTGCCGAAACGTCTGAGACTAAGCACCGGGTGTTTGAAAATTTGGATCAACTGACCCGCGGGTTAGGCTATAAAGTGGACTATTTTGTGGTGTTTTCGTCGGTGAGCGCCGGTAAAGGTAACGCCGGTCAATGCAACTACGGTTACGGCAACTCTGTATGTGAACGGGTGTGCGAACGCAGGCGCGGGGATGGTATGCATGGGTTGGCCGTACAGTACGGCCCGGTGGGCGACGTAGGGGTGGCCGCGGACGTGGACTTCTTTGTGGGCGATATTACTGTCCAGAAGCAGCGCATCCACTCGTGTTTGGATGTGTTGGACAAACTGTTGGCCGCGAAGCACCCGATTGTCACATCCTTTGTAAGTAATTTTGTATAAACATTATTTAATAGGAGAGGGAGAGAGAGAGGGGGGAGAAAGGGTGGGGAGAGAGAGAGTTATTATAATAATAATTACTGTAAAGTAATTACATTTTTAAAATATGTTTTCAAACACAAATTATAAACTAACAAACTGTAATGATTGCATCCAATTTAAATAAAATAGTACAAATTTATTTATAACAATATAATAAATTGGGCTAAGCTTTCCCCGTTTAATCGCAAAAGTAAGCAAATCTATTTTTATTGATTCCCCTTTTATATGGATATTTGTAGATTTAATACTACAATTAGTTTTGTTAATCATTACAGTGAAGGACATTATAATTACAAATTCATTAAAATAAGCCATTAATTATATCTCTCACAAACAAACGTGTAGCTCAAGAAAGATCTAGCTAAATCGTTTGGCACGGGTGTCAAAAAAACCCGACTGGTGGCCGAACTGTGGCGAGTGATGGGCGTCGACCCGAACACAACGCCCGATAGGGTAACACTCGGCGAGATAGGGCTCGAGTCGATGTTCGGGTCGGAAGTGCAACAGGAGTTTGAGAAAACACTAAACATTACGGTAACAATCAATCAAATCAAGTCCCTAACAGTGGGTGCGTTCAAAGAGTACGAGTCGGGCCGTCGCGATCACATAGTAGCATTTCTTGACGAACGTAAGCGATTGCGCACGCACATTTTGCGCCAAAAATTTACCATGCCCACCGAGCCGTGGGTGTGGCTAAACGGGCACCGGGAGGGGCGTGCCATTTATTTTATGCCTACGCTTGTGTTAAACTTTTCGATGGTAGAGGAGTTTGCCGCCCGACTGGACCGGCCGGTGATTGGCCTAAATTGGACGCGAGAGGTGAGCCAACTGTTCACTCTAGACGCTGTGGCCAAGTATTACGTAGAGGTGTTGGCGGGCTTAGAAAGGGGCAATGAGGGCGGCTACGATGTGGTGGGCTATTTAGATACGGCCCACGTGTGCACTAAACTACTGCTGAAGGGAATGGCCGGTCGGGCGGTGATCGTCGACGTGATGAACGCCGACGCCCTGTATAGCGAACAGTCGACCGACGAGTTTATGATTGAACTGATGCTGAAAATGATATCAAACGAAATGCCGGCCGATATTATCGGCAATATTAAGCGCCAACTGAGCCGCGAGACGGACACTAAGCGCCGGATAGCGGCCATCAGTGGTCAGATACTGGAGCTGACGGGTAAAGGGCTGGTGGCCGACGATATGGAGCAGATTTTGGGGACAATGTTCGCCCGGTTTCACATGTTTTTGGACTTTTTGGCCAAAAAGCGTAATAGCGTTACGACTCGCGTGAAGGCGTCGGTGGCCGAGAAGTGGGCGAAACTGAGCGGCAAATTAGTGATCATTAAGCCGTTTGTCGGCGACGAGTCTCTCTTCTTCAACGACATGATTGACAACACTCTCGACGGCTATTTTGTGCCACAGGTTTGCGTCGTCCTGAATATAATATTTTTATTTTATGTGAATTTATATTATTTATAAAATATTTATTTTCTCACAAGTCAAAATAAAAAGTTGGAAATTTTT